AATTAAGATGTACAAACACATCACCATCACCAAAACACAATTTTGTCATGAATCCATCTGCGTCCTTTGTTTAATATTCACATAGACCAAGGTGAGCGACACAGGCTCTTTAGAGCCTCTAGTTCTAGTTTCCAGACAATAACTTGTGTTCAAGTGTATGGATCTCTCTGAAATTGTACTGCAAGGTACCATACCACAAAGGGAAGGCTGGGATTGAGTTTGGGGGTGATGAATCATAAGGGGGTTCAAAAAATTTGGGGGGAGGGGATTTTTTTTTTTTTTCCTTTTTTTTCTTTTTTTCCTATTTTTTTTTTTTTAAATTTTCCATTTTAAGTTGGTTATTTCTGATTTATATTTAAAAGCAAATAATAATGATATGGTAGGAGATACACACCAAACAGGATGTGTAAATTATTATATAATAAGTATTGTGCAATAGCAAGAAATTTTCAATTGCACAGTATTGCACAATAGCAAGAAATCTTCAATTGCACAGTATTGCGCAATAGCAAGAAATCTTCAATTGCACAGTATTGCGCAATAGCAAGAAATATCCAATAGCACAATATTGCGCAATAGCAAGAAATTGTCAATTGTACAGTATTGCGCAATAGCAAGAAATATTTAATTGCACAGTATTGTGCAAAAGAAGATACTTCGTATAAATTGCTTATTTCTTGACCAATTTCAATGGGGTTTTATTCTTGAATTCTTGGGGTTCTTTAATATGCTGAATCTAACCGTGTATTTAGTTTTTGGATTTTGGGCCCCGTTTTTAAATTGGTCCACATTGAGATCCAAAGGGTCCAAAATTAAACTTTGTTTGATTTCATCAAAAATTGAATTATTGGGGTTCTTTGATATGCCGAATCTAACCGTGTATTTAGATTCTTAATTTTTGGTTCCGTTTTCAAATTGGTCTACATTAAGGTCCAAAGGGTCCAAAATTAAACTTAGTTTGATTTTAACAGAAATTGAATTCTTAGGGTTCTTTGATATGCTGAATCTAAACATGTATTTAGATTTTTGATTATGGGCCCAGTTTTCAAGTTGGTCTAAATCGGGGTCCAAAATTAAACTTTGTTTGATTTCAACAAAAATTGAATATATGGGGTTCTTTGATATGCTGAATCTAACCATGTATTTAGATTTTTGATTTTTGGGCCCCGTTATCAACTTTGTCCACATTGAGGTCAAAAGGGTCCAAAATTAAACTTTGTTTGATTTCATCAAAAATTGAATTCTTGGAGTTCTTTGATATGCTGAATCTAACCATGTATTTAGATTTTGGATATTGGACCATAATAGGTGAATGTCCAATTTAAAATTTTTAAGTTCTTAGACCACATTCATTCTGTGTCAGAAACCTATGCTGTATCAAATATTTAATCACAATCCAAATGCAAATCTGTATCAAGCTTGAATGTTGTGTCCATACTTGCCCCAACTGTTCAGGGTTCGACCTCTGTGGTCGTATCAAGCTGCGCCCTGCGGAGCATTTTATTTTTATTATTTTTTTTTAAAAAGCATGATATAAACTACATTTTGGCAAATTATTAAAAAATTCTATGGATCATAATTTAGACACCCCATCTACCTTAATTCAGTAATATTGTACCACTTCCCGACTCTAGAACTGAGTGTTGAACGACAGAAACAACACACACTGAAGGCTTGCATGCCAAACAGGGTCAAATCCTAAAAATGTGAAGTATATAAATATGAACATTATTTTAGGGGAGTTAGTTATGTATACAATTCATTTACCCTATTATCTTCCTTTAGAATTGCTGACGTGCTGGACAATGTTCCTCTTACACAAACAAAGGCTTATTTGTCCATCTCTTTGTCATGAAATTATATTTTCTGTTCTGACTTTATTGCTATCCAGGCATAATTCCGAGCTCCTTAATCTTGATCTTTCAAACAATGTAAATATTTCTGTATACATGCTCAAGCCATGTATATAGTTTAACTTAAAGTTGTGTTGTTTTATTTAATCCACAAAAATTGCATCACAGTAATTTTTGCTTGACCATACATTGAAGTCGGTATTTGTATTTTCCTAAGTAAACCTAAGTACATGGTAAAATCCATAGTAATACACCCACAAGTACAAATATAGGACTTTTCATAATCTAACTGTAGTTTGAATCACTATCTGGAAGCAACTTTACATTCTTCTAAAGTTACCAGACGAACATACAGAACAAAAATATGGTGGTTTTTTTGGAGTTGGACATAGACAATCACAAACAAATTATTGGTGACCTGGCACGCTCATTTTTGTCCCCTGTGCATCGCGTTGCGGGGGACATAGACATACCAGGCATCCGTCCGACTGGTTTTGTTAGCGCTCTCACATGTACAGTTCTTTCCAGATTTGTATAAAACTTATATCATAGGTTAATATCAGCAATGTCTCGGACAAGTTAGAAAATCGGTGCTGATCAATAATTTTTATACGCCCGTTTACGGGACGTATTATGGTATACCTCTGTCCGTCCGTCCGTCTGTCCGTCCGTCGTCAACATGTCGGACATTAACTCAAAAACACTTTAACCAATTTGCATAAAACTTTGGTGAATTGTTTATATCTATTGACGTGAGCTCCCTTTCGTTTTTTATAAATTTTAGATTTTACGTTTCCGAGTTATGGGGTTTTATTCATTAAAAAAAGGGTGATTTTCCAGTTTTCGGACAATAACTCAAGAACGGTTTCACCAAATTGCAAGAAATTGTGGTGAATTGTTTATATCTATTGACATGAGCTCCCTTTTGATTTTTATATATTTTAGAGTTTACGTTTCCGATTTACAGGGTTTTATTCATAAAAAAAGGGGGATTTTCCAGTTTTTAGACAAAAAAACAAAAATGCTTTCAGCAGTTCTTATGAAACTTTGGTGAATTGTTTATATCTATTGATGTAAGCTCTGTTTAGAATTTTATAAATTTTACATTTTACTTCTGAGTTATGGGGTTTTATTCATTAAAAAAGGGGGGATTTTCCAGTTTTCGGACAATTACTCAAAAAAGCTGTCAGCAATTCTCATGAAACTTTGGTGAATTGTTTATATCTATTGATGTAAGCTCCCTTTACATTTTCATAAATTTCTAATATGACATTGAGAATTGATTGAACTTTATTTGTCTATTATAGTCTGACAACAGATTTACTAAGTATTGCGCAACAGCACAGTGTATTGCACAACAGCAAGAAATCTTTAATTAAATATAAATTCAATTCATATAACCAATTTCAAGTTCTTTGACTACATTTATTCAGAAACCTATAATATGTCAAATATTTAATTACAATCCAAATTCAGACCTGTATCAAGCTTGAATATTGTGTCCATTTTTGCCCCAACTGTTCAGGGTTGGACCTCTGCGGGCGTATCCAGCTGCACTCAGCGAAGCAGTTTATTAAAAGAGTTATGCCCCTTGGAAACATTAATTATATAGACAATTACATCATTAGCGCTCTCATGTGTACAATTCTTGCCAGATTTTTATGAAACTTACATCATAGGTTTATATTAGCAATGTCTTGGACAAGTTTGAAAATCAGTGCTGATCAATTATTTTTAAAAGAGTTATGCCCTTGGAAACATTAATTATATGGACAATTGCATCGTTAGCGCTCTCATGTGAACAATTCTTACAAGATTTTGATGAAACTTATATCATATGTTTATATCAGCAATGTCTTGAACGAGTTCGAAAATCAGTGCAGATCAGCTATTTTTAAAAGAGTTATGCCCTTGGAAATATTGATTTTATGGAAAATTGCATTGTTAGCATTCTCATGTGTACAATTCTTGCTAGATTTTTATGTAATTTATATTATAGGTTTATATCATCAATGTCTTAGACAAATTTGAAAATTGGTGCCGATCAATTATTTGTTTACGAGTTGTGTCCTTTAGAAATATTGATTATATGGAAAATTGCATTGTTATCACTGGCATGTTTTTGCCAGAATTTTATGGAACTTATACCATAGGTTTATATCAGCAATGCCTTTGACACTTTCAAAAATAAGTGCTGATAAAATATTTTTATACGACGGCAAAAAAATTTCCATACCACAAAGGGATTGTTAGGATTTACTTTGGGGGGGTTATGGCTCAAGCCGTTTAGGAATAAGGGGAAAAAAAGGGGGGAAAAACAAGGGTTTCCTGGTTAATGAACAATTAAAAAAAAGTACAATTTTATGTTTGGATTACCTCCCTTACACTGCTTTTAAATTATGTATCAAGAAATGTTGTATTGTCTTGAGGTGATTAGCTGTCAATTTATTTTTAGAAGTTACTATTAAGGAATATTAATTTTAGCCATGATTATGTATATCATTTTCTATTTTAAGACTTTTATGATGTATTTAAATGGGTAATTATGGTTGCAAACTCCATTGGAAAAAGGGGGTGAGGTGAAAAAAAAATTGGGGGGGTTAAAAAAGAAATTGTGAGGGGGGACAATTTTTTCTCATTTCAGATTACAGAATTTAAAAAGCAAAAAAAAAAAGGAGGGGGGGTAATTTTTTTTTTGGGGGGGGGGTCAATTCGCAACAGCATAGTGTATTGAATCATATAACCAATTCTAAGTTCTTTGACTACAGTTATTCTGTGTCAGAAACCTATTATGTGTCAAATATTTAATTACAATCCAAATTCAGACCTGTATCAAGCGCGAATATTGTGTCCATTTTTGCCCCAACTGTATAGGGTTGGACCTCTACAGTCGTATCCAGCTGCGCTTGGCGAAGCAATTTATTAACTAGTTATGCCCCTTTGAAAAATTAATTGTAACAGAAATCGCATTGCATTTGCTCTGAAGCCTGCATTTCTCTAAGATATTTATAAATTGTTTTAAACAACCTGTAAAAAGTTTTTTTTTTTCAGTTATTGCCCTTGGATAGATAAAATATGTGCAACGCGGGGGACATTGGAACTCTGTTCTTTTATTATAAAACTTATATTGTAGGTTTATATCAGCAATGTCTCATATGAGTTAGAAAATCAGTGCCGATCCATTTTTTTTATACAACCGCAAAAATTAAAAATTTTTTGGTCGTATATTGGTATGACGTTGTCGTCGTCGTCCTGCGTCGTCCGAAGACACATTGGTTTTCGCACTCTAACTTTAGTTTAAGTGAATGGATCTCCATGAAATTTTACCATAAGGTTCAATACCACGAAAGGAAGGTTGGGATTGATTTTGGGGGTTATGGTACCAGCAGTTAAGGAATTAGGGGCCAAAAAGGGGCCAAAAATAAGCATTTTTGTAACTTCCAAACAATAACTTGTGTGTAAGTGTATGGATCTCTCAGACATTGTACCACAAGGTTCCATATCACAAAGGGAAGGCTGTAATTGATTTTGGGGGTAATTGCCTCTAAATTTTAGGAATTAGGGGCCAAAAAAGGGGCAAAAAACAAGCATTTTTCTAGTTTCATGACAATAACTTGTGTGTAAGTGTTTGAATATTTCTGAAATTGTACTACAAGGTTCCATATCACAAAGGGAAAGCTGGAATTGAGTTTGGGGGTAATTGCCCGAAACGTTTAGGAATTGGGGGCCAAAAAGGGGCCAAAAATAAGCATTTTTCTAGTTTCCAGACAATAACTTGTGTTCAAGTGTATGGATCTCTCTGAAATTGTACTGCAAGGTACCATACTACAAAGGAAAGGCTGGGATTGAGTTTATAGGTGATGAATCATAAGGGGGTTCAAAAAATTTTGGGGGGGGATCTTTTTTTTTCTTTTTTTCCTTTTTTTTTTCTTTTTTTTCTTTTTTTCCTTTTTTTTTTCTTTTGAAATTTTCCATTTTAAGTTGGTTATTTCTGATTTATATTTAAAAGCAAATAATAATGATATGGTAGGAGATACACACCAAACAGGATGTGTAAATTATTATATAATAAGTATTGTGCAATAGCAAGAAATTTTCAATTGCACAGTATTGCACAATAGCAAGAAATCTTCAATTGCACAGTATTGCGCAATAGCAAGAAATCTTCAATTGCACAGTATTGCGCAATAGCAAGAAATATCCAATAGCACAATATTGCGCAATAGCAAGAAATTGTCAATTGTACAGTATTGTGCAATAGCAAGAAATATTCAATTGCACAGTATTGTGCAAAAGAAGATACTTCCTATAAATTGCTTATTTCTTGATCAATTTCAATGGGGTTTTATTCTTGAATTCTTGGGTTTCTTTAATATGCTGAATCTAACCGTGTATTAAGTTTTGGGATTTTGGGCCCCGTTTTTAAATTGGTCCACATTGAGGTCCAAAGGGTCCAAAATTAAAGTTAGTTTGTTTTTAACCAAAATTGAATTTTTAGGGTTCTTTGATATATATGCTGAATCTAAACATGTATTTCGATTTTTGATTATGGGCCCAGTTTTCAAGTTGGTCCAAATCGGGGTCAAAAGGGTCCAAAATTTAACTTTGTTTGATTTCAACAAAAATTGAATATATGGGGTTCTTTGATATGCTGAATCTAATCATGTATTTAGATTTTTGATTTTTGGGCCCCGTTATCAACTTTGTCAACATTGAGGTCAAAAGGGTCCAAAATTAAACTTTGTTTGATTTCATCAAAAATTAAATTCTTGGGGTTCTTTGATATGCTGAATCTAACCATGTATTTAGATTTTGGATATTGGACCATAATAGGTGAATGTCCAATTTAAAATTTTTAAGTTCTTAGACCACATTCATTCTGTGTCAGAAACCTATGCTGTGTCAAATATTTAATCACAATCCAAATTCAGAGCTGTATCAAGTTTGAATGTTGTGTCCATACTTGCCCCAACTGTTCAGGGTTCGACCTCTGCGGTCGTATCAAGCTGCGCCCTGCGAAGCATTTTATTTAAAAGAGTTATGGCCCTTAGAAATAATAATAATATGGAAAATTGCATTGTTAGCGCTCTCATGTGGAAATTCTTGCCAGATTTTGATGAAACTTATATTGTAGGTTTATATCAGCGATATCTGGGACAAGTTTGAAAATCAGTGGTGATCAATTATTTTTAAAAGAGTTCTGTCCCTTAGAAATATTAATTATATGGAAAATTGCATTGTTAGCGCTCTCATGTGTACAATTCCTGCCAGATTTTTATGAAACTTATATCATAGGTTTATATTAGCAATGTCTCGGACAAGTTTGAAAATCAGTGGCGATCAATCATTTTTTCAGAGTTATGTCCCTTAGAAATATTAATTATAGGTGAATTTGCATTGTAAGCGTTCCCACATGTACAATTTTTATCAAGTTCATATCAAAGGTTAATATCTCCCATAGAAATAATTTTTAAAAGTTTTAAAAAACAAAACAATTTTTTTTTGTTTTGTTACTGACCTTGTGCAGCTAAAATATGTGCAATGCGGGGGACATTGGAACTCTGGGAGCTTATTCACAAAGCATCCGTTAACTTAACGGAGACGTTAACGGGTATGTCTGTTAAAATTAAAGTGGTGTTCACAAACGTTTCCATAAACATTGTGATAACGGGTGCGCTATTAACGGGTGTGTGAGTATGCAAATAAGACGTAATTGATGTTTCGGTGTTTTTATTGGATTATAAATCAACTGGGCAATACAGTAAAAAATGGAATGTTAACATTTTTATCATAATGATGTATACAGGCGATGTTTAAATTTCTCCCGTAGTTATGCTTATAAAATTTACTACTCTACGTCTAAAAACAAACAGTTAATGAAGACTGCGTCTTGGCGGTGTTATTTGTTCATTTATCCGTAACGTTTATTATATTCTTATTTTTTATGCCCCCGCCGAGGCAGAGGGGGCATTAAGCTTTACCCTTGTCCGTCTGTACGTCCCAAAATTAGTTTCCGTTCATTAACTTTTGTTTCCCTCAACCAAATCTTATGAAAGTCATACACAATGCTTATTACCACCAAACACAGATCAAGTTTGAATATTTGTGGCATTACTTTTGCCGTTCTTGAGTTATGTCCCTTTATAAATGGAAATATTGGCAAATTTGTAGTTTCCGCACTCTAACTTTACTTTGCCACAACCAAATGTTCTGAAACTTATACACAATTCTTATTACCACAAAACACAGATCAACTACAAATTGGGTAGTGTCACTTTTACCGTTCTTGAGTTATGTACCTTTATAATGTTATATGCAAGCGGGGACATCATCTGTGTCCCATAGACTCATTCCCCATTTGTTTTATTATTTGATTTGATAGGCTAGTGGTAGTAGAGTGCGCACCTCAAGTGGGAAATATCGATTTGTCCAACAACTCCCTGACGGTCCGATGGTTATATTGCATGTAAGAAATATTCATCTACCCAACATACCCTAGTATTTTTTAAGGAGCGTCAAATGTCTCGCCCCCTCTCGACATTGATCTTTGTTGATCAACTCATGCAAAATAAATACTATTAGATTTATTGTTAATATGTTCTCGGTCTGAATACGCATTAAATATCTGCCACTGAACATTTAGCAAACAATAACAAATCAATCAAATGATGTAAGAGTAGTTTCAGTTTAATATATTTTCATATTTTGAACCACATTAGGATATTGTCTTCCGGGGTCGCATGATGATTCCGATATCATCGGTCAAGGATGTAAAAGAAATGTGAATTATGATTTAAGTTTCAACTTTGCATGCCAACTAATTCAAATGATGTGACTAGTTAGAAGATAACCTGAAATACATATTCTTCCTTAATTCTGGACTAAGGTAATTAAAAAAAATCGGAAACCTTCTGCACCGACAACTCTAAATATTTAACGTGACTTGTGTGATTTATTCAAGTTTTAATCTGTCTATATCACAAACAATATATATCTGCTGTATGCGTTTAACAGGGAGGGGTATGTTTCTGGGAACAGATTGTTTTCTTGAATAACAACCAAAAACATGGTGCTTTAATTTTTTTTTAATTTTCAAAAGAAACAATTAGTTTTTTCACTGACCTTCAGAAACAATTTTTGTCAAGAAATCAAACCAAACAATTTATCTAAAAGGCATCCCAGAAGATGAAGATAGGAGTTGTGGAAAATTTTACTCATTTATGGGACGATCATTTTATTTTTTGGGGAAGAATGCTCGGAATTTTTGCAAACGTTATATTTGTTTTCACCTGTTGCTAGGTTGGTTTATGGCCATTTTGTAAATAACTATATCCAGCAATTTGAGGGGAAGAATATACATTTTATCCTGTCACTGGCAAGGTTTTTTTTTTAAGTTCTTACTAGGCTAGCATATTCATTTCCAAAATCCTCAAGACGGCTCTCCCTGCTATGAAAATTAAATTGAAGTTTCCCGCTTGTTTGCACGAATTTCTTTTTCACTCATAATTCTGACCTTATAACAAATATCAAAATTCTGAAACCTACAACACTTTTTACCTGTAGTGACGGATCCAGACTCTCCTTTGATGGTGAAGGCACAAGGCCAAACAAAAAGGGGTATACGAAGGATGTTGAAAGGCATTAAATTGGACTTCAAAACTTATCCCTCAGGGGTACCTGGTGTATATAAATAATACCAGTATCTCTGTGTTAAGTGTATGACTCCCCTACATACATAGGTCTTCCGTCCTTAGTGTGATGTACATGAATATATACACACAAACAAAGTTTCCGATCAAATGGTAATTTTCTTTAAACATTGTTTCATTTGGAATTAAAAAAAAGGCTGAAGAAATTACATAGTAATATATAATAAGTAGATGCGGTATGATTGCCAATGAGACAACTATTCACCCGATACCAAATGATGTAGATGTTAACAACTTTAGGTCGCCGTACGGCCTTCAACAATGAGCAAAACCCATACCGCATAGCAAGCTATACAAGGCCTCGACAAAATAAAATGTTAAACAATTTATATGAGGAAACCTTATGCCTCATTAACATGTGTACAAAATAACACGAAAAACCAACATTATAAAAAGTAATCAATGACAGCCGCTGCATTACAGGCTATCTTTATATAACGTGTATCTTAGAATTTAAATTATTTTTCAATCATATTTAAAAATGTACAATTTCTCATACTAAATACTAAATCGACTGAGCTTTTTCTTATTATCGAAACTTTATTGCATAAAAAAAGAAAAAAACAATGGATTAAGCGATACTACACAATACATTTAAACAATATGACAAAAACATAATCGTTATCTTTCATTTGTAAAAATGGACATTATATCCGAATCGACCTAATTCTTCTTCAAAATTGTGATCTTACATATATTTAAAATCGAAACTTTGTAAGTAGTTGACGACTTATTATGTTCTTCGAAAATCTGAGGTACTCTTTCAACTTAATTTCATTTATAGTTTATTGAAAAAAGTTTTAACTGTTGTCCATGTTAAAATTTTGCCTGTGCAGAGACAATTAAACATCTTTATTGTCATGACTTTCTTTTGACGTCACATCAGGTCAAAACTGTGGCTTTGGTTGGCTGATAGATTTTATGCACATATGAACTGTGAAAAATTTTGGTTATATCTTGGGAGCAATCAATTCAAATATGTGTGTCTTTAGTTTTGTCAATTTACAGGATAGTTTTGTCATTTTAATTAGGTAATTGTAATGATACATTACCAGGATGATTGACAACTGCTATGATCACCAAATTATCAGAGACAAGGTGTGACTATAATTAGAATGTCCCACCTCCTTAAATGCCAATCATATTGACCAAGTTACTAATCAACCTCAGTCTTACATAATTAAGCAGATCATTCATTATTCAGGAATTAGGGGCCAAAAAGGGGTCAAAAATAAGCATTTTTAAAGGCAGTGCTTTAATGCCTTTCTAGTTGCCGTGTTAATATTTCTTTCCGCGATATCCAACTTATCTACGTGGGGGGTCATTTAGCTCCAAGTAGATCCGGAAAATGTTGATTCTCTCCTCTTCTTATTGTGGTATAAAATGTTTTTTGTCTCATTTCATTTACATTGGGAAATAGAGAAACGATCATTGTGTTTTGTTAGTTTTAAAAACTTTTGATATATTTGTATTTTACATTATAAGCAGTCAACCGATTGACAAACTAGAATTATTTGAATTCCTTGTGGAAAGAGGACGGGTTAATTTCGAGTGTTATCTGCAATCTAGATGTTTATAAATCATTTCAGTCGTTGATATAATAATTAAAGGTCGACTGAACATGAATTATATTATACAATTTAAAGCGCATTTCTGTTTATGCACGTGAACCCGTCTAACGTTATTGTTATTTCGCAGTTATATAAAGTAGCAAATTATCGTGCCTGAATAGGTGGCGCCATGGTAGCCGATCCTGTACTTCAACTTCCGGTTTCTGCACTGTGCAACTATTACAGTTGCATTTTTAATTAACGATGCCAAGTACTTGTTGTTGTGTGCCTGGATGTCATTTAAGAGGAGGACATGCATTTCCAAATGACTTAAAAAGAAGGAAAAGTTGGATCAACGCTATGGCCCATACGCAGATTGGACGAGAACACGATGAAATCGTGGAGTCCATCTCAATCAGCTGTTGTTTGCAAGGCACATTTTACTGAAAAAGACTACGTGCAGGAAACTGTTCATGGTAAAACTCTATTTTCTTTTTAAAATATATAGTTATAAATGTAATCGCCATGCGAATAAACCAAAGTCAGTTTACAACCGCAATTATCGTTTTAGAATAAAAGGGGGTGGTTAATTCAAGACGTCATAATTTTTTGGATTACGATTCAATGTGATCTGTTTGAGATTTTTTGGTGCTTGCTACAATTATAATGATTTCTTACAAGAGGTATATCATACTGAGAATTATTTTAGCAGTAATTATGCTTATGTAGTAATGACAGGAATGCATAAGCTTTGCCTCATAGACTTTCTTGAAAAATATCAATGACAATGTTAACAGGAACAAAACAATGACATACTCTCATCTATATTATAGTTATTTAGGTACAAACAATGTATGTTTGTTGCATACGTCTCTCATTGTTTGTCCTTCGGATTTACATAACATACATTTTGATGTACATTGAATCAGGCTAACATAGTTTTATCCAGATTGTAATGAATAAATCTAGTTAATATTTTGCCAGGTTACGAGTACAAAGGAATTATAGTTATCTCGTACCATTGTAACTCGTACCAATGTCAACTCGTACCACTAAACAAAAACTCGTTCCAATGCAAACTCGTACCACTGCTAACTCGTACCACTGTAAATTCATACCATTGTTAACTCGTACCAACTTATTTAAATGCATTCAAATGGTGTTTAATGATGAATATATACTTTAATTTCACTCAATACCTCTTAAGTCTGTAAAATGTATATAATTTGAAATTACAATAACCAATTTGTAGCTAATTTTCCTTGTCTAATTGGATAGAGAAAACCGTGGCAGATTGGCTTTGTTGTCTCCCTTGAATAGACTCTTTTTTAAACTTTTACTGACAACTATTTGATTTAATTTTTAATCATTCCAAATCAGTAACATTGAATAGATTTGGGTATTTTTATACGACCGCAAAAATTAAAAAATTTTTGGTCGTATATTGGTATGACGTTGGCGTCGTCGTCGTCGTCGTCGTCTGGCGTCGTCCGAAGACACATTGGTTTTCGCACTCTAACTTTAGTTTAAGTTAATGGATCTCCATGAAATTTTACCATAAGGTTCAATACCATGAAAGGAAGGTTGGGATTGATTTTGGGGGTTATGGTACCAACAGTTGAGGAATTAGGGGCCAAAAAAGGGCCAAAAATAAGCATTTTTGTAACTTCCAGACAATAACTTGTGTGTAAGTGTATGGATCTCTCTGACATTGTACCACAAGGTTCCATATCACATAGGGAAGGCTGTAATTGATTTTGGGGGTAATTGCCTCAAAATTTTAGGAATTAGGGGCCAAAAAAGGGGCAAAAAACAAGCATTTTTCTAGTTTCATGACAATTACTTGTGTGTAAGTGTTTGGATATTTCTTAAATTGTACTACAAGGTTCCATATCACAAAGGGAAAGCTGGAATTGAGTTTGGGGGTAATTGCCCGAAACGTTTAGGAATTGGGGGCCAAAAAGGGGCCAAAAATAAGCATTTTTCTAGTTTCCAGACAATAACTTGTGTTCAATTGTATGGATCTCTCTGAAATTGTACTGCAAGATACCATACCACAAAGGGAAGGCTGGGATTGAGTTTGGGGGTGATGAATCATAAGGGGGTTCAAAAAATTTGGGGGGGGGGGTTTCTTTTTTTTTCTTTTTTTCCTTTTTTTTTTCTTTTAAAATTTTCCATTTTAAGTTGGTTATTTCTGATTTATATTTAAAAGCAAATAATAATGATATGGTAGGAAATACACACCAAACAGGATGTGTGAATTATTATACAATAAGTATTGTGCAATAGCAAGAAATTTTCAATTGCACAGTATTGCACAATAGCAAGAAATCTTCAATTGCACAGTATTGCGCAATAGCAAGAAATCTTCAATTGCACAGAATTGCGCAATAGCAAGAAATATCCAATAGCACAATATTGCGCAATAGCAAGAAATTGTCAATTGTACAGTATTGCGCAATAGCAAGAAATATTCAATTGCACAGTATTGTGCAAAAGAATATACTTTGTATAAATTGCTTATTTCTTGATCAATTTCAATGGGGTTTTATTCTTGAATTCTTGGGGTTCTTTAATATGCTGAATCTAACCATGTATTAAGTTTTTGGATTTTGGGCCCCGTTTTTAAATTGGTCCACATTGAGGTCCAAAGGGTCCAAAATTTAACTTTGTTTGATTTCATCAAAAATTGAATTATTGGGGTTCTTTGATATGCCTAATCTAACCGTGTATTTAGATTCTTAATTTTTGGTTCCGTTTTCAAATTGGTCTACATAAAGGTCCAAAGGGTCCAAAATTAAACATAGTTTGATTTCAACAAAAATTGAATATATGGGGTTCTTTGATATGCTGAATCTAACCATGTATTTAGATTTTTGATCATGGGCCCAGTTTTCAAGTTGGTCCAAATCGGGGTCCAAAATTAAACTTTATTTGATTTCAACAAAAATTGAATATATGGGGTTCTTTGATATGCTGAATCTAACCATGTATTTAGATTTTTGATTATGGGCCCAGTTTTCAAGTTGGTCCAAATCGGGGTCCAAAATTTAACTTTGTTTGATTTCAACAAAAATTGAATATATGGGGTTCTTTCATATGCTGAATATAACCGTGTATTAAGTTTTTGGATTTTGGGCCCCGTTTTTAAATTGGTCCACATTGAGGTCCAAAGGGTCCAAAATTTAACTTTGTTTGATTTCATCAAAAATTGAATTATTGGGGTTCTTTGATATGCCGAATCTAACCGTGTATTTAGATTCTTAATTTTTTGGTTCCGTTTTCAAATTGGTCTACATAAAGGTCCAAAGGGTCCAAAATTAAACTTAGTTTGATTTTAACAAAAATTGAATTTTTAGGGTTCTTTGATATGCTGAATCTAAACATGTGTTTAGATTTTTGATTATGGGCCCAGTTTTCAAGTTGGTCCAAATCAGGGTCCAAAATTAAACTTTGTTTGATTTCAACAAAAATTGAATATATGGGGTTCTTTGATATGCTGAATCTAACCATGTATTTAGATTTTTGATTTTTGGGCCCCGTTATCAACTTTGTCCACATTGAGATCAAAAGGGTCCAAAATTAAACTTTGTTTGATTTCATCAAAAATTGAATTCTTGGGGTTCTTTGATATGCTGAATCTAACCATGTATTTAGATTTTGGATATTGGACCATAATAGGTGAATGTCCAATTTAAAATTTTTAAGTTCTTAGACCACATTCATTCTGTGTCAGAAACCTATGCTGTGTCAAATATTTAATCACAATCCAAATGCAAAGCTGTATCAAGCTTGAATGTTGTGTCCATACTTGCCCCAACTGTTCAGGGTTCGACCTCTGCGGTCGTATCAAGCTGCGCCCTGCGGAGCATTTTATTCTATTGTTTCTAAAAGGAATTTTATTTAATGAAAGAATTTATTGATTGTGTTTTAAAGGTTTAAAATTGTTTATGACCAACAGTTAGAAAGTATGAAATTTATTTTTATACAATATTCAGCACATTTCAGCAGAATATGTATGACCATGCTTATATGATTATACAAGTTGATTAGTTAAAGATAAAAAAAAACAAGTTGATTAGTTAATAATCAACCAATAATCACACAATCAAAGGAATTTAATATATTTATTAGCATGGTAATTAAGAAATTACATTTGTATTTTTGTCTAAGTTTTCATTAAAATCTGGTATAAATTTCAAAGATATTTTAATTTTTTGTATAAAGCTTAAAAAAATAATAATCATAAAACATTCATATTTTTGTCTAAGTTTTCATTAAAATCTAGTATAAAATTCAAGTAATTCAACTTTTTTTATTTAGTTTACCAAAAAAAAAATCATAAAACTTTCGTATTTTTGAATATATTTTTAATGGTACGAGTTTGCAGTGGTACGAGTTCTGATTGGTACGACTTCCCAGTGGTACGAGTTTACGTGGTACGAGTTTACAATGGTACGAGTTAACTTGCTTCTGTACAAAGTATGCATTGCTAATGGAAGTTCATTTAATTATCAAAAAACAAATGTTTTATAACCTTTTTCAGGGCACAAACCCACCATACAGAGACTTAAGTCTACTGCCAATCCCAGCCTATTTTCCTGGACCAAATAAGAGACTGAATCGTCCGCAAAAAGAAAAATCAGGGCAGTTTCCTGTGAAAACAAAAGAACTAAACTTGATGAATATTGTAGTAGAAATCTAGAGGAAAGTTTTGATTGTAAAGTTGGTTTTCCTGAAGAAGTAATTCATTCTGCAGACAGGATTTATGACTGTCCACCACCAACTGCCGAGCTAATGTTGAGCTTCACAGATGGAATTACGCAAATACCATCAATGCCTATATTTTCAGCAGAGAATTTTGAAATGAAGACACGTGACACAGCCATGCATTTTTATACCGGTTTAGAGTTGTATACTAAATTTTTATTTGTTTTGACCACACTTGGTCCAACAGCACATTGTTTGAGATACATATATTTTCAAATTGATAGGGTGTCATTTGAAAATCAGTTTTTTTATGACTTTGATGAAATTGATGCATTATACAACCAACTTTGAACTGTCTAGATTCTAGATTGAAACTAGTGTTAAGAATATTGTGTAAACATGGATTGTTTTTATGTCTAAACAGTGGCGTGAGGCTAACACTTGGCCATTTAGTGGTTTAATCAGGTATTTTTCGCCATCCAACTTAGAATTAAAGTTTCCTACAACTTGGATTATTATTGACAGCACAGAATATCCCGTGATAAAACCTAAAGCTCCTAGAGCTCAGGCAACCTTTTCATCATATAAAAACAGAAACACTGAAAATACTTGTATGTTCGACACCTGGTGGTTTAGTCAACTATGTCTCTAATGCATGTGTTGGTTGTACCAGTGACTGTGAAATAGTTGAAAGATGTAGAATAGTTCAATTATGTGATCCAGGTGACAGTGTGATGGCAGACAAAGGTTTAAATGTGCAAGATTTGTTTGCTCACTTTTTTCAAAAAAAGAAACAGAATTAGTTCCAAAACTCTTATACGGGATAGAAAAGTCTCCAATTAACATGTGCACATAGAGCTAATTATTGGACTTTGCAAAACATACAAAATTCTAATAAATCCTATGAATGGAACTGAAACAAAACTTTCATCTGAAATAACATTTAGTTGTTTTATGTTGTGTAATTTTAGAACTTGTATTGTGCCAAAGGATGCATAAATAAAAGTGACGCAATGAAGTTTGTTCTGATATATATATATAAATATTATTTACAATTACATGCACATGTAAATTGTAATGCATATAAAAATAAGGAGATGTGGTATGATATTCAGTGAGTTTATCGAACCAAAGTGCATAAGAAATGGGTTAAGCAGTTACAGGTGTTACTGTCACCATACAATCTCCAACAATTAGAAAAACTTGTACCGTGTAAAAAATTTCAGAGATCTTACAACTAAGTTTTGTTGTCTCACCTTGACTTTGGTGAATTGTTTATATCTGTTGATGTAAATATAAAAAAGAAGATGTGGTATGATTGCCAATGAGACAACTCTCCACAAGAGACCAAATGACATAGAAATTAACAGCTATAGGTCTCAGTACAGCCTTCAACAATGAGCAAAGCACATACCGCACAGTGAGCTATAAAAGGCCCCGAAATGACAATGTAAAACAATTCAAACAAGAAAACTAACGGCCTAATTTATGTACAAAAAATGAACGAATAACAAATATGCAACACATAAACAAACGACAACCACTGAATTACTGGCTCCTGACTTGGGACAGGCACATACATGTACATACAGAATGTGGCGGGGTTAAACATGTTCACGGGATCCCAACCCACCCCCTAACCTGGGACAGTGGTGTAACAGTACAATATAAGAGCGAACTATAAAAATCAGTTGAAAGAGGCTTAACTCATCAGATGGATAAATACAAATACAAGTGGACGTGGCCGGGTAGTTGTACATCCAAACAACAAAAAGACACTAAGTACAGATCTGAGAGTACTCGCATTTACTGACAGCTAGTTCAAAGCCACAAACAACTGATAAAAAAATCTTGCATCTAAGACTAAATTATCAATCCGTAAGCTCCCTTTAGAATTTTATAAATTTTAGATTTTACATTTCTGAGTTATGGGGTTTTATTCATTAAAAAGGGGGGGATTTTCCAGTTTTTGGACAACAACTCAAAAATGCTTTAAGCAGTTCGCATAAAACTTTGGTGAATTATTTATAGCTATTGATGTAATCTCCCTATTGATTTTCATAAATTTCAAATATGACATTGAGAAGAAATTGAACTTTATTTGTTTATAGTCTGGCAACAGATTTATTAAGTATTGCGCAACAGCACAGTGTATTGCACAACAGCAAGAAATCTTTAATTGAATATAAATTCAATTCATATAACCGATTTCAAGTTCTTTGACTACATTTATTCAGAAACTATAATATGTCAAATATTTAATTACAATCCAAATTCAGACCTGTATCAAGCTTGAATATTGTGTCCATTTTTGCCCCAACTGTTCAGGGTTGGACCTCTGTGGGTGTATCCAGCTGCGCTCAGCGAATCAGTTTATTACTTAAGAACTCCTTTTTGTCGAGCCTGCGACTTTTGTCGCAGAAAGCTCGACATAGGGATAGTGATCCGGCGGCGGCGTTAGCTAACTTCTTAAAAGCTTTATATTTTAGAAGGTGGAAGGTCTGGATGCTTCATACTTTGTATATGGATGCCTCATGTTACGAAGTTTCCGTCAGTTACATGTCCAATGTCCTTGACCTCATTTTCATGGTTCAGTGACTACTTGAAAAAAAAGTGTGCATACCTTGCAAGGTCCTCATGCCCGTCAGACAGTTTTCACTTGACCTCGACCTCATTTCATGGATCAGTGAACAAGGTTAAGTTTTGGTGGTCAAGTCCATATCTCAGATACTATAAGCAATAGGTCTAGTATATTCGGTGTATGGAAGGACTGTAAGGTGTACATGTCCAACTGGCAGGTGTCATCTGATCTTGACCTCATTTTCATGGTTCAGTGGTTATAGTTAAGTTTTTGTGTTTTGGTCTGTTTACTTATACTGTATGCAATAGGTCTACTATATTTGGTGTATGGAATGATTGTAAGGTGTACATGTCTAGCTGGCAGGTGTCATCTGACCTTGACCTCATTTTCACGGTTCAGTGGTCAAAGTTAAGTTTTTGAGTTTTGTCTTTTTTTCTAATACTATATGCAATAGTTCAACTATATTTGGTGTATGGAAATATTTTATGATCTATATGTCAGTCACGCAGGTTTTTTTTTACCTTGACCTCATTTTCAAGGTTCATTGCTCAGTTTAAAGTTTTTGTGTTTTGGTCTGTTTTTCTTAAACTATAAGCAATAGGTCAACTATATTTGTTGTTTGGAAGAATTGTTAGCTGTACATGCCTGCCTAGCATGGTTCATCTGACCTTGACCTCATTTTCTTGGTTCATTGGTCAATGTTTAGTTTACTTGGTTAATGTTAAGTTTATGTGACAGTTGTAATAAAGCTTT